GATCACCTTGCCAATGAACGGAGGAAAACCAGGTGTGAAGACAAACGACAGGAGGATCTGGATGAAACACCGGTGACTGAAGGGGGGCAAAGAAGGGATGGAGACAGAGGAAAAGGTAACGGAGGAGGAAATTGGAGCTGGAGAAGCCAAGAAAACCAGAGCAGAAATGGCCAGGAAAGAGCTATCAGAAGGACTGAACACAGAGTGTCTAGGATGAACAAAATCACTCAAAGAAGAAAGAAAATGAGAGAATAAACAAATGTGTAGGTCAAATCCTGGCTGAAAACATCGATAGTCAGGGCAAGAAGATGGGGAACCGGAAATCAAAACCAAGGCAACCTGTGGTTAAGGGACATAGCGAAAGCCTCAATGTGAGGAGTACCCCAGTGAAGTCAAAGCCAATGGAAAACAAAAAAAATCAAGAGACCACTCTGTCAATTAAATGTTATCTGGTTAAGGGACATAGCAAAAGCCTCACTGTGAGAAGTACCCCACTGAAGTCAAAGCCAATGAAAAACAAAAAACTCGAGAGACCATTCTGTCGATTAAACGTTGTCTGGACAAGAATCCAATCCACAAGAAGAGTGAAAGCACCAGAATATGACATGCAAAGAGAAAATCCAACATATGAATACAGAGGGAATAAAATGGGTGCTGCCCTGGTGATTGAGATAAGCAGCCACTGAAGAAAAATTAGAATGGATCGTTATCAGATGATTTCTGGCCAGATAGAGAAAATGAATCAAAACACAACCTACAACAAGAGTCTCCAGGACGTTGATAGGATAAGACCTCTTAGCTGCAAACGAAAAACCCCGAATCTTCCAGTTGATCAACCCACGTCTCCCATCCCAGCAGGGATATGTTCATGAAATGTGGAAACCTGGATGAGGAGGAGGCAGGACACCAGCTAATATGTCATATCTAATCACCAATGCCAACTGACAACGAGGATAGGAGGAAGGGTAATAAGAGCTGACAAAGGATCCCTGTGAAAGTTCACTGGTTGTGAAAAGCCCACAAAAGAGCCATCATCTGAACCTGAACTAAGGGGATAAGGGCTACCATGGAAGATTGCATCCCTTAAAGCGACAGAACTTCATGAGCTGTAATCGAACTAAAAACCCATTGAAGGAAGTTCAAGAGGAGAAGGCAGTCCTGATTGAGATGTGTGTAGAAAAAAAGAAAAATACCCAAGTGAACAAGATATTGGATAGGTTGCATAAAGGACTTCTCCAACTTGATTAACAGCCCATAATAGCCACCTACAGGAGCAGCTGTTCAGAATGAACAAATAGTAGCCAGTTTACCAAAGAAAGAGGAAAGCACAACCCGAGAGCATATAAGTGACAAATGAATGCTCTGAACACCCGACTAAAGATACAGGGCTGAAGCAAGTCTGAAGGGCACTGCATAAAATAGAGAAACCACCCAATGGAAAATAAACCGGAGAGAGGGTCATGAGTGAACACATATCGGGATATGCAAATAATCATTCGCAACATTCCTCTTTGTCATCAATAAACATGAAGAAAAAGCCAACCCAGGCCTGACGACTTTAGGCTATATCTTCATTTAATGATAAAAACCATAGTTTTTGGCTTTTCTTGGCATATAGATGCTTGATACATTATGAACAACTGAAATAATAATTTGAGTAATAATTAATGTGTATTTGTTACTTTATAGATTTAATAGATATTTGTTGTTACTTTATTAACGTTTTTATGCTTATACTGTGAGGTAAAAACAGCTGCTGCTATGATTTTGTCTGGTTTATGATCTCGTTGCTGTCCTAATTTAGGATTTTCTTTTTAATAAATTCTTCAAAATGTGAGGATGTTTGCCCTGGGGCCCATGCTGGCTCTCGACATTTCTGAACCAACCTAAAGGTAAGAAACAACTCCATGGTAAAACAGGGCAGATTGAAAATTAGAATTAGGTGGGACAAATCTAGTACAGGCTGCCAGTCTCTGGTTTAGCAAGAGGACAACAAACAGCCTAGAATAAAAGCCTGGAGAAAGATGATGAACAGGTGCAATGGCCTGAAGAGACAGAAAATCTTGTACCTTCTTGGATGGATGCAGGCTTGTGGCAGGATCCCAAGCCATGGGGAAGAAAAAAGGTACCACGGACAAAGAAGGTGAGGAAAGAAATAGTAGGTTAAGTCCCTCTGATAAAACCTGAAGAACCCATGGAATTGTAGTGAAAGATCACCAAAGGGTAACAATATAATATAGTCAAGCTCCCACTGGACCAGAACCCCCTGGTTAGTCTCTGGTACTGTTGGCAACATGCCTACCAATGCTAAATAAAACAACGAGATGAGAAATCTTGGAAGTGGGACAGGGATGGGAAAGGAATAGGGATGTGTTGTAGCTCCAACTGCGACAAATGTGCAACCAAAAAGAAAAGGGTCAAACGTTGACACACAGATTACACATCATATTCCAAAGTCTCAGATACATGATCAAAAACATATCACCAAAGAAAACAAATACAGAAATCTGGAAAAGAGAAAAGCGGCAAATGCATCCAGGACAAGGTTGCATCACAAACCAGAAAAAACAATTACAGTGAAAACACGTGCATAAATCGAGAGCCGATGATAACAATTGAGCCAACATGGAGGTAATAAGGAATCCTAGAAGAATGGGGAATTGGATAAAACACATCTGAGAAATCATGTCAAAAAATGCTGTATTAGGCCTAGCTTATTCTGCAGGAGGGGTAAGGAAAAACATGATAAAATCTGGTGGTGTAAAAAAGCTATCAAATCGTCATCAGCCCTAACCAGTTTGGCTTGTTCAGGAGAATTAGTGGGGCAAATTCAGGAGAAGAAGACTGATCCATATAACGATCATTCTCACAATATCAGAGAAATCTAATGACATGTCTCCCCCACCTTCAACCTGTGAAAATAGTGCTAGAGGTATAACACTCAAAATGGGAACATGAACCTCAGACTTCATTGTAGAAATATGTAAATCAAACAAAAGTGTTTGATGTAAAATATGCATGTGTGAGAAAACAAAATAAAGACTGGTAATTTAAATTAAAAGATTTATTCAATGTAAAAAAAGAAAAATAGGAAATCCTACTTTGAATATTAAACTATTAAAATCACATTTCACAAAAAGAGCACCTAATGAAAAATGAACACAAGTACTGCCAAACGAGAAGTGATAGTTCGGTAAAATTGGATAGAGGGAATAACATGTATCATGAGAGTATGTCACACTCTTATTGATGCATTGGAATCAGAAGGCTTGTGGCAGGCATAAAAATGTTTGCACTGAAAGAGAATAGCTATTTATATGAGTGGAGGTAATGTACTGTATTGGAATGTAACTGTTAACTTATGTTAATTTGATACTAGGGGTAGAAACATTTTAATTATTAAAATAAAACCTTGAATACCTTAAACTTGTTATTATTGCATTTTGAAGTAATTATTTTCAATAGGGTTCTCATTAAAGATTAAACTAAAATGTTGTTATTGAATTTATTTTTAATGTCAATCAGTAGTGTTGTATTTTAAAATGCCTGTATAGGTATTTGATATCTTGTCAACTTATTAAATTCTTAGTATATAATGGTCAGATAATTCTCCTGCACTGATACACTTTAAACTTTCTACATGTTAATTTTTTCACAAACTTGCTTATTATTTAAGATAATGATCCTATTAATAATATCGTAAGTTGCTTTAAGCTCATAACAACATACATCTATTTATAACAAATTTTATTATTTTATTACCCTTTTGATTGCCCTATGAAGTATGTCTAACTAATATTCTTGTCACTATAAGTTGTAAACCACTGGGGGAACATGCAGTTCCTGTGTGTGCCTTGTGAAACATTTTTATTACAATATGATTATATACTTTACCTAATTTAATCTTAACTAACATAAACAAGATCCTTATTTTTACATTTTAATTACTATTATAATATAAAGAATATACATGAAAAAACAAGAAATAAAGTATTTACCCAATCTTTTTTTTTCTTGCCGTCGATTGTAGGTGAAATTTAGCCCTAATGGTAGTAATGCTCTAAATAATTTTTATTTAATTCAAAATTCGCACCAAAGAACATAGAATGACAACATGCAAAAAGTAGACAATGTCCCCTAACTCTCAAAATTTTTCTGGCTTTCTAACTATGGGACAAGAGTCATAACAAATTAATCCAAGCTAGTCATTAACTTTCCCATGGAATGAAGCTTGTACTCTGAGTGAAATTGATGCTTATCTGTTTAGAACACAATGTTAAACATATATGTCATTTTATAGATGAAATACTTGGCTTTCTATTGGTTATAGGTAATATATAATTAAACATAAGAGAGAACTATTAACAAATCCTGAAATAGAGGATGTGACAGATGGGTGTGGCAGGAAGGGTCTGATTTTCTAATTGATAGCTTGTAAATGAATAGTAACTCTTTAAGTGTGTGTTATATTTCATAAATTTAGCAGTAAATTCATAGTTGAAGTAGTTTCATTTAGTTGTAAATTAGCAAAATCCCTTTTACACAAATAATGTCACAATCACTGAAATATATTACAATACAAATGCATTTGCTTTCCCTCCATAGTTGTGTGTGAACACAATCCAAAAACCATCTTGTGGTAAAAACTAACATAACTCTAGAAACACAATAAAGCTGAAAGAAATTATATTTGATGTTCTGTTCTTCCATACTATAAATTTCAACATGTTTTGTGTATATTCATGGAAATTTTCAAGCTTTTAGTAAACAATACAAGTCTTTTACAGGCATAAAATCAGAATTGTTTTATTAAATTGACTGTTCTGAGTACAAGATGATTTTCAATTTTTCAAATTTCATTTGCATAATCTCTAAAACTTCCTAAATAAATGTGAAACGTTTTTTCTAAACTAAAATTATATTTTACCTGTTATTTTCTCTTCCATAAATTGATAAACATTTTGTCAATTTGAATTTGAAAAAGAAATACAAAATAAAATGAGTAGTACTATTCTGTCATTTCTAGTTTTGACCATGAAGTTCCAAAGTGCTTCTCCTAAGATTTTATACTTCTGACCTTTTCATATATATTCCCCATGTTTATTTTAGTGTTAGTAACTGAAGTAGGAACCTGTCAAACATAAAGCAATGAATCATTGCAGCTGCCATCAGACTGTTTACATAACAATGTATTATGACACCATTGACAGCAAATAAGCATGTATGGAGCAACAAATAGATTTTTCCCACAAAGTTTATTGTAATATCTGCTCAGAGAACATAGTGGGGAGGGATTTATTGACTTGTTTCAGAACAGTGGTATGTTGAGGATTGTCTAAAATAATACAAGTATTTGAATGTTAGTTATCCTCCCGGAGTGGTTAGAATTTAGCAGTATAGGTGTACTAAATGTGTAAATGCTTAAGAACACCTATATATATATATATATATATATATATACTATTACTTTTAATTATAAATGTGCAATTTCTAGTTATTTTTCTTAAAATATAGAACAATAAATACAAAAATATATAGGAAAACAAGGATTTCTGGTAATTATGATGTTATGTAATTTACTTGCACTTAAGCCTCTCCATAGGCCTCCTATATTCTCTCTAGTAGAAGGAGGAAACAATTTAATTTTTGTATATTCCAAAGATCAATTTTAGAAAACCCAAATATTATCAACTTACTATACTGGTGCACATAAAATCACTGTAATTCATCTTATCTGGCTTTCTAACCAAGCTAGATGTGTGGGTTAAAAAACAAAAGTCTCATTTCTGTTTAGAGCAACAACTTAGTAAACATTCCCAATCAATCTATAACTTTATCCTTCAAGCCAATTACAAATGACTGTCAGACTCATGTAATTTGGAATGTGCTCTTTGTTGGTTATAAACATGTACTTAAGAGAAGTAGGCATTAGAAAACAAGAGGTTTAAAATAAAATGGACAAAATTTATCACAATAACATCTTGCAAGTCTTTTAAAGGAAATAAAACAACCTATATTTCTAAGCAAATCAAAAAGAGAGAATGTTCTCATTTGATATTCTAGCTCGTCAATGTCTAAAATTTGAGTTTCTAATTCATTAACCATTACAGACATTGTATGGTAGGCATAATAAAATGAACAATAAGATAGAAGGATGTGACATGAAAAATACACACATAAAAAGAATATTTAGCGTCTTTGTTTTAATATTCTCTTTGGAATCAAGAAATTAAGACATATAATATTGAAATTTGAACTATAATCTACATTTTGATGTCAATTTTCTTGACATACTTTGATAATAGATTTGTTTAAGTAAAATTTGAAAATAACTCTCTAAAATATTGTGGCATGTGCCATTTGACATGTCCGTAGCGAGAGGGTTAATATATCCATATCTAAATCACAGATAATATTCCAACAATTTGAATATGTTTACTACACAATGTTAATCATTTTAGGACTTGCAGTTAAAATAAAAAAAGACAAACACATTTGTATTTCAAGCAGTGCTGGATAAATCCAAATTGACAATCACATGAAATTTAAAATGTAATAATTATTACAGAACTTAGATTTTGATGTTTTCTTTCTCTAACATTTTTTAAAATACCACTTAAAACACACCTGAAAATGTATAATATCAAACAAAATTTGCAAAAGAGTCCAAGTAATCCACATTTAAATTTTTTTCCTGTGCAAATTCACATTCTTTGTGTAATTACCATTGGGTATTTTTCTATCTTTAACTTAATACACATTCTTCATTTCATTGAAATCTATTTCAAAATGTGTGTTTAATTTCCATTACATACTGTTAATTTTTATTTCTTACTTGTTTATTCAAATTGATTAATGTTGTTTGTTATAGCATATGTCACACTTCTGGTGTAATTACCATTGTATATTTTTGTATCTTTAATTTAATACACATTCTTCATTTGACTTAATTTGGACTTCATACTGTTCATTTTCTCCTGTTATTTTTTGTATTTGAATTATTCAATGGTGTTTATTATAGAGCGTATCACACTCTTGATGTAATTATGATTGTGTATTTTCATATCTTTAGCTTAATGTACATTCTTCATTTGATTTTAATCCATTTTAATATGTGATTTAATTTGCATTTCATACTGTTCATTTTCTCATGTTATTGTTTTGTGTTTGAATTGTGTAATATTATTTGTTATAGAATATATCACATTCTTGGTGGAATTACAACTACGTTTTTTGTGTATGTTTAGCTTAATACACATTCTTCACATTTTGGTGCATTACACATTTAAATCTCTTTAAATATATGTGATATAATTTATATTAGATACTTTTATATACTATTTATTTTCTCTTGTTACTTACCTTACCTAGCTCTAATCAAAGGGCACTGTTGATTACTTGGCTAAAGGCCTAACAATAAATCTACTTTTCTATGGTTGTTTCTTTTGTAGTACTAACGAGAGTTAAGTATTCCAGTGGAATGATACACTATATTAACCTAATTAGAATTAAAAAAAGATAAAATCTTACAACAACTCATACTAAATAAATAAACATCAAACTTGAGAATAAATATTTTATACTTATAAATTTTAGAGGCTAACTAACAAACAATTTTAATTTACCTTGGATGAATATTGTTCAAATTTATACAAAAACAAATTACCCAATTTCTGTCAGTTTTGTAGGCCAAATGCTGTTCCATTGAATGAACTAGCTTATGCTTTAACTGGATTATTTCTTGCCATAGACTTCCCACTTCTGCCTGATGGATAAAGAATATTTTTTAACATACACACAATACACCCCTTCATTACAATTTTGGTACATTAATCATAATGAAAAAGTACAGCTTTTTATTTTTCTAAAAAACTTTTTTTTTTGAACAAAAAGAAGGCAAAAAAAAAGCACTGAAATTCCTAATCCAAACAAACAAAAATGCCTAACTCTTATAAATAATTAAGCATTCATATATTAAAGATGTATCATAATGGTGGTATACTCTAAATAAATAACCATGTTTCCTTAAGATGTTTTGTAAATACAAAAAATTTGGTAACAATTACAGTAACTGTCCTCAGCCAGCTGAATAGCTGTCAATCAGTCAAACAAGAAATGGGCTTTTAAAACCAAACCAGTAAATCAAGTTAATAATGTGTCACTGGTTATCATTTTTAAATAAAACTTATCACAATAACATCTTGCAAGACTTTCAAAGATTTTAAGATAAAAACAATAACTGGCATAAACATACCTCATGAGAAATTGCTATTTCCTGAAGTCTCACTTGAACTTTATCTTGGAATATTCCAAGTCCATCTAAATTTCCCAATATCCCAAAATCTCCATTCATGTTGATTGTACTTAGGAAATACATATCACATATGTTGGTTCTTGTGTCTTTTTTAAAGGTTTTTTCCCTTCTTCTAATCAAATTGATATCATTGCTATTAGACTTTGTTTTCTGTTCTACCTTTGATGAAGGTGATGGAGATATAGTACCAGATAAAAATTCTGATGTTGATTCGCCATCATTTGAAACACTTGGTATATTAGAAGATGAACAGTCATGGAGCTGGATTCTGTAACCTTGGCCTATATGAGGCTTACATTTAAAACAGGATTTAGCCAAACAACCTAAAAAGGATGACTCTGTAGGTTTATCTAACCACACACTTTCTGTTTCTTTCATTAATGGTTCTTGAAATGCCTCACATATACATTTATTGCCCATTTTTTGTTTTAAGGTAGTTAAGCACATACACTTGTTTTTATGTTTCAGAACTAAGTAATCATCCTTTTCCCCAAAAGAGTTATCTTTAGGCCAAAAAGGTGGTTGGGCTGTCAACCTTATCTGCTTTGATTCTGGTTGAGATTGAACTAATAACAATTTTGCACTTTTGGTATTGTGAATAAATGTCCTCATATTTTTTCCAATATCTGAATCACTACAGCGTCTTTGCTGGTAGGTAATGTATTTCTGTTGCACTTGGGTCAAACTTTCATATGATTTTGCTCTGTAAATTTTTTTGGTTTGGCTAAATCAAAGAGTGGAAAACTCTGTCCACCAGTTTTACATTTGAGATGTTCCTCTGGACGAATATACAGTTCCTCCCAAAAAACAAGATGATTCAGTCGACATGATGGTCTTAGAACCTGAAAAAATACCTTTGATGATTCAAAATTATATTTGTAAGTTGCAGAGATGTTTATGACATATTCTGCATTCTAACTAGCCAATTTCATATGACAATTTAATAAATACTATAAATTATGGCATTCATACAGAATTTAATCTATTAAGTTTGAGTGATGAAGTTAATATTTTTACTCCAGTTCTAACTGCAATATTTATTGGATATTCATATTCAAGTGTAAAACTTGAATTTTACAACTAGTTATACAGAGGGTGAGTACATTATATTAAAACGATTTTTAATATGCAAATCAGCAAGTCACATTATAACCACAGTCAATATAAAGTTAAAGTGGAAAAGCATGTATCAAAATTACATTTTGATATTGTTTGATGCCACCAAGAACTAAAGGATACATAACAGCCTTTTCCAACAAAAAATATTCATACACTCAGATTATAAAGTTGTGTTCAGAATAAGGATTTAGAATTTATCCCTTGTACTTAACAGAAATGAAATATCAAGGAATAGAGATCAATTTGGGGAACCAGGACCTTTGAAAAATAGACAAGCAAGAAGTTGTATTCTAGCCATGGTAAGCAAAGTGGGGAATGTTACAACAGGTGAAAATTTTAAAACACAATAATCATTATCAAAGGCCATTATGTTATTCCATAAAATAGAAGTATCAGTCAAGTCACCAGAAAATTAACCTATGGATTTGTGCATTTGGACTGTTGAAAATGGTGGTGTAATATGTAGGCATACTGTATGTTTTCTACCTTCTTTCACAGACTGACCCTTATGAAAGCACTCTGGTTATGAAGTTTTGTATTTTTGTCCATACTATAATGTTGAACATACTAAGTGTATCTTCACAAAATTTGGCAAGTTTTTCGTAAACATTAAAAATGTATTGTAAAGAAAAATTCTTATTTTTTATTAAAGGTTTGTCTGTGAATTTATGAAGTTTTTGCTGAGACAGTTTGAGTGAAAGGTTACTTTCATCTTAAGTATAAAAATACTTATTATCTTACAGTTTATGTTTCATTTGCATAATCTCCAAAACCTCCTAAATGAGTATCAAAAGTTTTTATTGGTAAAAACTTTATAATTCATATCCCATTTTCTCAACCCGTACACTGACTGTAGTGAAATTATTTGTATCAAAGTTTAAATATAAAAAGTAAAATCAAAAATACTTTCTTTTTCTAAAATGATTGTAGATTGTAACAGACAATTACAATTAGTTGCCTTAGACATCCATAGATTCCTTGCACTTTCGCATCTACTTTCATTAATTTTATTGTTCTTTGAACCATGTATAACTAGTTTAACACAGCAATAAGTTACATGGTGGCAAGTTAGGGTAAACAAACTATTGAGTTTTATCAGCAGTTACATCATGTAAAAGGAGACAACATGTTCTTTAAAAGGAGAAATTTCTTTCTTTCTTACTTTTTTCATTTAAATTTTTTGATCTAGCTTAACAAGTTTTTAAATAAAAAAAATATATCTAAAAACCAAGAAATTTAGTACTTACTTTAGCCTTGAGGCATTATGCACTCAGATGTATTGTTTACTAAGCTTTTTTCCTACATGTTGGTTGTTCCAAAAATAATTCATGTATTAACTTTTAAGTATGCATTTCAGAACAAAACAGTACATCAGAAACTACAAGGTGTCCATATAGTCTGGAGACATAGGGAAATTCCTAAATTTGTTTTTCACTGTGACCTAAATATATTTATTTATTTATCATATTTATTATGACCTAATCTTTTTTTTTTTATTACAGGAAGAAATCTAAAGTGGTGAAAATAGCATTGATGAAAGAAGTAAAAGCAAAATTGATACTGCTATGTAGATGTAAAGGATGGTCATATTGAAGGATAGTGAACACTTTAATGAAACTCATGTTTAAAATAGAAAATACAGCACATGGTACTGTTGGTAAGTTGCTGCAGAAGTTCAAACCTACTGGGTGAAATTGGCGAAGGTATGCCACAATGGTTTCAACAGGATGGAGCATCACCCCACTATGCTGCAATGGTTTGTCAATTGCTAGATGACAATTTTTGTGATAGGTTGATTGGACGACGTGGCCCTGTAGTACAGGTGCAAAGATCTCTAGACCTTAGCCCTATGAATTTTTTCTCTAGGGTTACATAAAATCTCAAGCTTATGATGATAAACTTAGGAGCACAGAGCATCTTATCGAACACATATGTGAAAAGTGTGGAAAACAATACTGCTTTGTTGAGACATGTTCATGAAAACGTTTGACATTGCCTTCAAAAATGTATTGATGCAGGAGGAGAACACATAGAATAACTGTAGTTCCAATATATGCTTTCTTTTTAATTGCCCTATATTTCGAGATTTTATGGACACCTTGTAGAACAGTGTGTCCCTAAACTACTATAAATTATCTGGGTTTTTTAATTAATCTATAAATAGGTTTAAAAATATCATTACTGTTTGGAGCAACGTTGTTAATCTAAACATGTCAAGCTCTCATGGCAAAATATCACCTTTTGATGCTGAAAAAAAAATAATAATGATCTGTTTTATGTAGCTTAGAATTTATTATTTCTATTGATTATAAGCATGCCCAATAACAATATCAGAGTGAATTAGAGACATTTCTTAAAAGACAGAGAATATGGATGTTTGTTAATGTGGGATGACAAATTATAGTGATATACAAAATTCTCTGAAATATTTTATAACTGTCAATCACTAAATTTTTTCAGGCCTGGTTAAATGCTATAAAACTGCATAAGTACATCCCAAATTCAGCCAATTTATGTTTAGAATAAGTACTGGTTGAAAATTCACTAAACTGTATTCCAAGTTTCAAGAAAATATATTATTGACTCTTCTTAATGCTTGACTGTACAACTTGATATTCAAAATGTTCATAATTAATAAGCCTTTTTTACTCAGCTTTAAAAAATGTAAAATCTCTTTAGGTACACTGCTAAGAACAATTTACGGATAACTACATTTTTGTATATTCTAGTTCTGACAGAGAAGAACTACTGTTGATAAACAGTGTGAATGATACCTAAGTTAGCCTTATGCATAGATAGATCAAGACTGATGGTGAAGCATGCCAGGACCTCAACAAAAACATTTGATTAATTATATGATGTTGAAAACAATAACTTGGCTAGAAGGCAGTTAAAAACAATAAGGCACTGTAAAGTGGCTACAAAACTCACTAAGTGTGGTTAGCAGGATGTGGATTAAAAACCAGAATAAGGAGAATTTTATGGGGTAGACCATCGTCACAACTCTTGCAAGACAACTACTATTTCACAATATAAGTTTGATGTAACTGATAGACTTCAGTTTCCAAATAAATCAATAGCATATATAGTTCAGGGCAGCAACTGGACAACAAGTTGGCCAGCAAATAGTCCAAAATAAGCTCCAAAAGGTTGGTCCTTATACAGACAACTAACAGTGTTGTACATTCCTTTAATCCACTGCCATAAAACAGCAAATCTTAAATCGTATAAAACACATGGATTGCTAATGCTGTTTAAGCGATCTATGTAAGTCAATGTCTTGTTCACATACAAATTGTATTTCACACTGTAGCCACATATGAAATTTATACATAACTGGAAAGCGTCTAGGGCAAGATCCTATCCCATTCCCAAAGAGAAAAGCAAAGCATAGTGTCACTGGCAAACTAATTTTGGTAGTGATCAAGTAATGATAGCCACACTTACTCTGAATTGCTAAGACATGGCATTATGAATGCTATATCATATAAATGCACTGTTTTACACCCATTGGCAATGACATATGCAACTTCTAACTGATGATAATGCACATCTGTAACATGCTCCAATGGTTAGCAAGGTCTTAGAACAAGAAAGTATCACAAAGTTCAACAGCTCCGAATTTGACTAAACATTGTGTGGAACATGACAGGTGAAACTTAATTGACCTCCAAGTAGTTCTTATATAGGTGTAAGCAGGGCAGAATTACTAACAGTTTAATGACTTAAGCACATTATGTCAGCCTATGATTTGCATTTGTGTCCAATGTGATCATAAACCTCACTAGGAAACATTTCTTGATAATTCATTAGACTACAAAGTCTGTAATACCAAATGAAAAGTTGTGGAGATGGACTCCAATAATACTTCTCTTTGTACATTAGATCACGTAACTGGTCAGTTGGCACTTGTTTTGTAAGAAAATAGATTCAGGAGTGTCATTATTTAATAACACTAGTTGTGCTTTGTCATACATGTTGTTAGAATATAAAAACTTCCAAATATCCATTACTGTTTTGAGTGGTGTCAATAGTTTTGAAAAAGATAGTTAAAACAAATAGAAATAAAAAGTTCACAAGCATTTTGACAGTTAGCTGATAAAAATTATACTATATGAAGTGCAAAGATCTCTTACTAAACATATGCCACCACACTATCATTAAGTGACACAATAATATATAAAACTATAAAAAATACAAAACAGCAATAAATTTGTTTTTTATGATAAAATTATTTATTTACCTCTTTATCGTGAACAAAAAGGTAGTTCAAGAATGCATCTATCTTGGAGTTTAAATAAGCCCATACTGAAAATGTCTGTTGATTAACACGTTCTTTCTGTCGTTGTTGAGCTGTGTTACACAAGAATGTTCCAAAAAGATTTGAAAAACTATGTTCTGCTAACTTTAACTGAAAAAAAAATTAAAACACATAATGTATTTCTGAAGAAGTAAAAAAGAATCTTATTGTATAATGAAATTTCTAAGTTATAGAAGTTATATTAACAAAGCATAAAGGACAAATCATTTTAATTCAACTGCATTAAAAGTTTTATTCATTTGTTTACTGAAGAACTCAAATTGAAAAAGTAAAAAAAAATTAATATAATCAGGAATTTAATTGCATAAAAAGTAAAAGACCAAGTTCAAACCAGACAAAAAAAATAATCCCAGAAGGTCATCTTTCTAAATGTGAAAAATTATGATTGAACAATAAAATAAAGGTTTACATCGGGGTAAAACTATGTTGTTAGCAATTGTATTCAGCTGTTAGATGGAACGAATTTCAAATCAGGTATCATCACACCAGCATGTAAGGAACAATGAGCAAATGACACAATTTCAAAAATACATTTCATATCTGAGTAGGTGTTTAAAAAGAAGCTATTAAAATTAGTTACATCATAGTAAAGCTATGTTGTTAGCAATTGTAGTTAGCTGTCAAAAGCAAAGAATTTAAAATCAGATATCACATCTGCATGTAAGGAACAATGAGCAAATGAAGCAATATCGAATACATTAAAAATCTGACTAGGCTTTCAGAAATAATCTACTTAAATTCTAAAGTTTCAGTACAATTGGCCTCAGCACTGAATTAGATTATTACTGTTTTATTCATTAAAATGAAACAAACAGATCTGTGTGAAAATTAGTTTTCTCACTATTAAATTTAAGATTTTAACATTTGCTCTACACTAGAAAAGCTAATATTCTCGTGGCCCAGGATGTCTGAATCTGACATCTAAATCCCACTCACAGTGTTGGAAATAATCTACATCCGAAGCTTTACTTCATACCCAAGCCAACTTGTCTAAAGTTATTATTATCCATGTAATTATATACTTTTAATTCTTTTTTTCTTCCTTATATTTTTATTTTAGTGTTTAGCATTAAGCTTGTCCCAAAACAACTAGAGATTAAAGCCAAAAATCTGCTATTAAAACTCTGTGTCCTAGTCATACTATGGTAATTATATTTTCCAAAGTCAAAGTAAAAAGTTACCATTTTCCAACACTGAAAATGTATTTCCAATAGATATTTACATTCACTCATACATAGATTATGATTCAGTGTTGCGCTCTATATGCAAACTTTTGTGCTCTCCATCAGCCTTGAGACTCCCACCTAAAATCACATGTTTTCAGATGATATGGTTGTGTTGTTGCATGCAAATGAGCATGTGACAATTCTCCACTGTTAGATATACATGACTGTTCATTTTAAATTTAATACACAAGAGTATTATTTAGTTTATATAGTGCAAATGTTAGTTATTTTTTGAAGCCACGTAAACAGAACTGTTTATAAACCATTTGTTGTGAATTGATGTCATATTACTCGAACCTTCTAAAATTTTCTCACTGCTTTAAGTAAGTATCGTTTTATCATAATATCTCATAGTTTGTAGAAAATTCTAGGCCTCAGGTATGTATGTATAGGTGACCAAGTGCAAGTAAGTTAGTGAAAGTAAAAGGAAAATATATATATATATATATACATACTGGGTGTTTGAGAGTTTAGCCATAAAGTATGTATAGTGACAAATTTTAAAGCATAATAATCACAGATTGTATTGTAATAACAGAGTAGAGAAGAAATTCATCCAGTCAATTGGATTCAAAAGTAACTGAACCAGCCTGTGTGGACTTTTGATATAAAAGAGAATTATTTAAAGCTCTAGATACAACTGTGGTAACCCACACTGTAATGTAAGTGAATTTGTGAATTATGATACCCGAGTAGAGAGGAATATTTTGTCTTGTTCCCATCTACTATCTAGCGAAACCACAGCCAAGGGAACGGGCTTGGAAAAATCAGCGTGGATTAACGAGATTCCCACTGTCCCTATCTACTATCTAGAAAAACCACAGCCAAGGGAACGGGCTTGGAAAAATCAAATCCATTCAAATGCCTCGTCATCTAATTAGTGACACACATGAATGGATTAACGAGATTCTCACTGTCCCTATCTACTATCTAGCGAAACCACAGCCAAGGGAACGTTTCCCCGCTGATTTTTCCAAGAGTCATAGTTACAGAGAAGAGATGCTACGCTTGTTATTAAATGGGACACATTGCAAATTTGTGCAAGTCTGTCAACAACAAGCAACAACACAAATTAACATAAAGCAGCTGGAGCTACCTACAAAGATGGTGCTGCTGCTAGAAGAAACAGAATGGACAATACATCACATTCACCATAAGAAGGAAGTGCTACCTCCATGATTAAACAGTGCATGACTGAAGGTCAGCTCAAGTTAGCAAATGGGTCAACAGTACCAGTGGTGATTGGAGCATGCAACAAACATTGAAAGGTGCCAACAAATTACAACATACCAGTAGGTGAAGGCTATGTCGGGGACAAGAAAGTGAAGGTACAATGAGACACTGGATGCAGCATTGAGAACCAGTCAATTATCTGATGACCATTGTTACATATTATAATTTACCCCAGAGGAGTCTCCAATTTATTACATAACGTGTTATAATTTCAAATAGTCTGAAACTGAGTTAAATGTTAATTTAGATTTATAAATTAAATAAATGTTGATATGTATCCAATTTATGATACTTGAAAACAAGAATGATACACACAGTTTCTTTTTTTAATACAAATATATTTTAATATACATACAATAATACAATTTACAATAATGGTTACTACAAATAATGACCTATGCACAAAAGTTTTACAAACTTAAAAACAATATTGAGTCTTCTTTCTGGTCTGGCTCTTCCTTGATGTCTTATCAAGGGTTCACGATGAGTGAGTTAATTTCGAGTTGATGTAGGTACAATTCACTTAACAGGGAGCTAGCTAGCTCTGCATTCTTCGCTGATCACATGTCAAGTTTTTCACCACTTAAGTTATATAATGTCTTTGTAAAAATACTAATGTCTGATGTGAATCCACTAAAGTTGAATAGCTTGTAATGTTCGAAATTTATAAATGTTCCTGATCAAATATCTGAAGCTCCCAATTAATAAGCATTAATCATAGTTATAGCATCAGAAGTTTATAGCATCTGAACTATAGTAAACCAATAATATATACTGTCTCTTGGTGTGTCTCGTTGGTTACATTTATAGGTGTGAGGAGAGTTTCTAGAAATTTCAGCCTGCACAACAATACTGAAGATACACTAGTGTTTACATACACACATATATTGTTGATTCTTACACTCAAGAATCTTCTACAACTTTAGTGAATAGATGGGAATTTCACAATAAAGATTTAACCGTATAAGTTACGTACACTTCTAAATATAAATTAAACTTAAACAAACATCAATACTAAAATATACACCTGGAAAAAAGTTAAGCACCCCCGTGTTTTTTTCAAGTGATTCAGATTC